CCAGCACTTGAGGCGGATGCCATACCTGGAGACCACACAGCCTAATAAAATTATTATAACAAGTGAGGCAGATAAGCAGCAGAAATGATTCTAAAAGAAGCAAAAAAGAAAATAAAGCACAACTTAGACAGTACAAGAATTGCAATAAAATTGAGATAATCAACCATGCAAATGGATACAACACTTAACAAAAAACAAGAAAACACAATACAATGAAACTGAAATGTAAAAAAAATGCCGGCCTATGAATCGTGCTAACATTGGTAACACCAATACCTATGGGGAAGTGCATCCTCACTGTAGAACTGGTAGTCAAAATTGCCATAGCCTGGCATGAGAGGCACATCAGATGTATGAGAAGTCTTGTCAGCCAGTATAGAAATGGCACTTCTAACTACAGGACACTGAAGTATGTTCTGAGGGGGTATAATCAGAGCAACCTAGAGACTTGTCTACAGTGCAGTGAGGTTACCCAAGTGATAACTCAGAGAGCTGCTAAGGAAATCATAAGCAAAGAATTTACATATGACCAATAATGTTCATGCTCAAACTGTAAGCACTTACTCAGTTGTCGCTGATGGCAAGGGCTCGATGTCTGTTGGCAGCAAATCAAGTTCTTCAGCTGTTATGATCTGGTTCTCTGATGAAGTCAAAGATTCAACAAATAACATCTAACAGATACATCTGTGATAAAGTGACGGGCACAACATATAACATCTACACATAAATCTGTGATAAAGTGACAGATATATACAGATACATAAGTGATGAAGTGACTTATGCAATAAATAACATCTACATATACATCTGTGATGAAGTGACATATAAACATATACATGAATAACATATACAGATATCTATGATGACATGACAGATTTTAAAAAATGTCTACACATAAATCTGTCATAAAGTGACAGATACATAAGTGATGAAGAAACAGGTACAACAAATAACATCTACGTATAAATCTGTGATGAAGTGACAGACATAACATATACAGATATCTATGATGACATGACAGAAAAAAAAAATATGTCTACACATAAATCTGTGATACAGTGACAGATACATAAGTGATGAAGTGACAGGTACAACAAATAATATCTTCATATAAATCTGTGATGAAGTGACAGATATAACATACACATATACATAAGTGATTAAGTGACTTGTACAACAAAAAACATCTACATATAAATCTGTGATGAAGTGACAGATATAACATATACAGATATCTATGATTTAATGACAGATACAAAAAAATGTCTACACATTAATATATTTGAAAGTGACAGATACATAAGTGATGGAAGTGACAGGTACAACAAATAACGTCTGCACATAAATCTGTGATAAAGTGACCGATTTAACATATACAGATACACCTACAATGAAGTGACAGATACAACAAATAACAAAAATAAATAAATCTGTGATAAACTGACAGATGCAAAAAATAACATATACATCTGTGATTAAGTGAAATCTGTGATTAAGTGACAAATACAACAAATAACATCTAGAGGTAAATTCTAGCACCTCTTATTATGTATTATAAAGAAGGAAACAACTTCATGCCGCAGATAATAAAGCCACATAAATAATTTATTTTATCAGCTCTTTCAACCTTAAGAAACATGTAAAAAAAAAAAAAAATTAAGTAAAGATCCCTTTTCACGCCTTTCGGCGATCGGGCATATGGGCAGAGCGTCCCATATTTTTACAGACCATCAGCACTCTGTGGGTAATGTGGTCAGCATTACGCCGGCTGTCTTTACTTTCCCAGGACAGCCCATCCTGGTACCCATTTTAGGCTGGGTCGACCTGCGACGTCCCATACCACGACAAAAATCCACGCAGCCTGCAGTGGGTTTCGATCGCGGTATGCTGGCTCATGAGTCGGACTCGCAACGCCTTAGCCACGGACGCCACAAGAAACATGTAATGTATTATTAATTATTCAAAAACTTCAACACCAGTATATGAAATGATGAACAGCACCACTTCTGTCATCATCTGTTATTCATTTGTTCAAGGAAGGAGCAAATTGTCACTTATGTTTTCTGTCTATTTACTCTAATATTCATTGTTAACTTATAACAGAACTTTCTATCAAACTGCCTTTGCCTACATTCTACAACAGTGGATCCGCACAAACCTCTTATGGTTCAACGGACAAGAAGGCGATTACCAGCAGTCTCTGTGGAGAGCTTCGAGTAAGGCAGGGCACTTAAAAGGCCTTGGTTATCTATTGCACCAAGGTCCATTTCCAGTCGTCTCGACATTATCCTGCCGCTGGATTAGGGTGGAAACAGGCGAGAGAGGGAGATGGATGAGCTGTGCAACTCTTCCTCACTTAAATCCAAGTGTTTGCGCAAGTCACTTTTATCTAATTTCATATAACGTCTCAAAAAGCTGCACAGAATAAAATGGCAAAATAGGATTCCAAACACTGTGGTTCTTGATAGGGCAAACCTGCCCAGCATCCACAAGATACTGAAGAATTGTCAGCTGCATTGGGCTGGTCACATAACCTGCATGCCAGACTATCACCTCCCAAAGAGAGTATTTTATGGTGAGCTCCAGCAAGGGAAGAGGTCCCAGGTAGGACAGAAAAAGCGCTAGAAGGACACTCTCAAAACTGCTCTCAATTCTTTTGGCATCAACGCAGCGACATGGGAGGCTACTCAGGACAGTTTTGGATGGCATACACTCCTCAGGCCTGGTGCATCAGCCTGGCAGGCAGTCAAACGGAGACAGACTAGAAACAATTTTATTGTTGATCCCACACTTACTGCAACTTCCACCTGTTGTCCACTGCTCAAGAACTTTCCAGGTTCACATTAGACTAATCAGCCAGCTTCATACTCATAATCATTGATCATTGCTACTTTGGATGAAAAGTGGTCTTCATTACTCGTTATAGATGAACAAAAACAATGGTGGATATGAGTTTAAAAATTTTTTTTTATTTTAGTCCATTCATCTTAGCACAGTCATAATTAAACATGTTAATCACTAGAGCAAATGAATGCAGTAATTAAATAATATGAATTACCATCTTGCAAAAACCTGGCTGTACCTCTGTTATATGGGGCAGGTATAGTATCTGCAGTTTGTCCCCCTTCTGCTGGAAATTTGCTGTTTCTTGGTATGTGTGGCTAGGTTAAACAAAAAATAATATTTACTTTACTATAATTAATGATAAAATAAATTTTTATTTTATGTGAAATTATTCTGGCTAGCATCAGACTAGTGCTCTAAACATGAATATAAATAGTATGTGTCAGAAAGCTCACATGTGTGTTGCCAGGATTCTTAAGGGAAGCTAGAAAATGACACCGTAGCCTACCATGCATGTTAAGACCTGGGTACCAAGAAGTGCACTGCACAATGAGTTGATTTATAACAAACTGGATCTAATTGCCCAGCTTCGCCCAGGATCATCATCAATCAGCAAGACTTTTACAGAACATCGCTCTCTTCACAGCACGCTTGAAAGTATCCCTTTCTCTAGCCAGCTCTCTGGCCCCATGTGCTTTCAATGCCAATGGTTCTTCAATGTCCTGTATCCATCTTTGTGGAGGTCGACCCCCGCCTCGATTACCACAAACTTTACCCTCCATCATCATCTTCTCCAAGCCACTGTGACAATTAAAATGTTACAGAACAATTCTCAGAACACCATGGACCAAGAAGAGGAGAAACATCAACATTCTACACGAGTTAAACATCGAGGAGAAATGGCTCATAAACAGCGTCCTGTCCTGAAAGTTTAAGTATTTTGGCCACATCAGTTGTCAGTTGAAATGTGGGACATTTTCTATTTCTTCATTTTCGATTATGATATGTGGTTGGTAAACAATAGGTGCATCAGATGTTTTGGAAATTCCATGCCATTCCTTATATGCCAGTTTATGGTGTTGCACACAAATGCCTTGCTATAGTCTAACAAAACAAGTATGAAGATCTATCTTGTATTCTCTACACTTCTTTAGGATGATTCTTATATTGAAAATATGGTCTCTTGTTCCTCTGCCCGTCTAAAAACCCACTTGTGCTTCTTGTTATTCATATTCTAATTTATTCTCTATTCTCCTCAAGATGATCTGCAGAAAGATTTTGCTGGCATGACTAATTAGAGCTATAGTACGAGAGCTTTTACATAATTTGAGATTTTTTTTTTTGGGGAGGGGAATATAAAATAAAGTTTCCACGCTTTGGGCCAACCAGCACTGTTCCTGCTTTTCACACATAGTGCATGGTATAGAATAACGCTGGCTTCTCCTCCAGCCTGAATTAACTCTGCTGGTATGTTGTCACATCGCGGATATTTACCTTTTTTTCAGGTTCTTTACTGCTATTTCCAGGACATGTAATAAAAATGTCATTTTTCCCATCTTCTACTGCTACTTTGTCTTAACCGCTGCCCTGTGTATATTAACTGCCCCTAACTGCAAATGAGGGTCATATCACACCCCCCCCCCCCCCCCCCCCACCCCTACACCAAATCTGACTGATGAGGATTTTGTGTATTCGTGTGGTTTTGTTCCATTTATGTATGTGCCGATGAAGGCTCTGTAGCCGTAATATTCACTTTTTGTTTGTATTTATTATGTTGTGTAGCACGCTGATCTACTTTTTGTTCGGTTTTATATCTTTCCATGTATTTAAATAGTGAGGACACAAACAATGTGTTGCACAATTTATTGCCAGACATATTTTGCTGTATCTCTACCGGTGCATTACTATAGAGAGTTGCATTAACAAATAACAAGGCACACCAAATATGGAATTCAGGCCACTGAAAAACACACATCACATCTCATCTCATTATCTACATCACATGCCTGGCAATAAATTGTCCAATGTGTAGCTGATGAGAAACAGCAAAATATGCTTGGCAATAAATTGTGCTATGTATTGTTTATGTCCGCACTGTTTAAATTCCATGGCAGGAAAACATTGTTTTGCACACAAGACTGTACTAAACTCATTACCAGTGGCTTGGTCACATTTGATGAAGCTCTCCTTGGCAACAGCCCTGGTGGCAAGTCATTCTATAAATAAATAAAGTTTAAACTTTCTCTGAGGACATGTTTCATAAACATTATATAAGCATCATTCAAGGTCTTTAAACTTTAAACAATGTGGTTTTTTTAGAAGATGCTGCGATATGATTCTATAAATGATCAGATTTGGCTTTTATTACACTAGGAAAAAAAAGTGACCCACGTAAACAAACTCTTTTTCTTCTTGGTGTTCAGCGATAGTTAACTTCAGCAGAAAGTTCCATTTATCCACGTCTGAACTTTGATCTTGTCTCAGAACTTGAGTTTTGCATACACATCTATTTTACAGATTTGGCTTATTTTTATGAAGACTGTTGGTTCTTTGCCTTTCAGGCAGATGTACTCTGACTGTTGAAAGAAACACCCCTAATTGGCTACCTTTCAAGACATGTTTGTTGGGATATTTTAATCCAGCCAACTGCAAGGATTCCCAGACTGTAAAGACACAGTCTCCTTCAAAACAGACACACAAACTAGCTACAAGGAATATCAAAATATAAACCAGATACAAGGATTCTCAAACTATAAACACAAACCAGATACAAGGATTCTCAGACTATAAACACAAACCAGATACAAGGATACTCAAACTATAAACACAAACCAGATACAAGGATTCTCAAACTATAAACACAAACCAGATACAAGGATTCTCAGACTATAAACACAAACCAGATACAAGGATACTCAAACTATAAACATAAACCAGATACAAGGATTCTCAAACTATAAACACAAACCAGATACAAGGATTCTTAAACTATAAATACAAACCAGCTACAACAATTTTTAAACTATAAACACAACTAAAATAAAAATACAACTATATATAAATATAATAAAATATAAAATACAACTACCCCCCTCCCCCTCTTTTTCCAGCCACATAACCCAGTCACAAGGGTTCTTTATCTCTCAACATATAGTTTGCATCCACATACAAAGTAAACTCTGTAGACACATTTATAGCATGGAAATGTCAACATTTAAATGTCCTTTAACAATCTACTATTATGTAACATTTAAAAAGTTGATGTAATGAAAAACTTACTGAATAACTAACTGTAGCTACATGAATCTGAGATGCTTGTTTCTGAAGAGTCTGCCGTAAGTAGCTCTCCTCCTTCAGAGCAAACATACTGAAAATTTTTCACAAACAGTTATAATTACTATTATTATATTTTCATAGAGCAGGCTTTACTTCAGCGCTTGTCCTACGCCATTCTTCTTTTCAACATAATTCTCATGTCTGTTTCTTCATCTGTCTGTGTTGGTTTGTCTATATGCGCGTTTTTATGTGCATATGTATGTGTGTCTGTAAGCATTTCAGTGTGCGTGTCAGTCTGTGTTGTGTATCTGTAAGTGTGGCTGTGTGTTTCTGTGGGTGTGTGTCTATGTGTATGTTTGTATGTGTATATGTGTGGATGTGGCTGCGTATTTGTCTCTGTGTGTGTGTGTGTATGTTGTGTCTGTAGGTGTTTCTACGTGTGTGTCTGTGTGTCTATGCCTGTGTGTGTGTTTCTGTGTGTTACTTCGTGTGTACTTGTGTGTTCGTCTTTTTGATAATGTGTGCTTGTGTGTGTCTGTGCGTGTATTTGTGCGTTGGTGGGTGTGTTAGTATGTGTGTGTATGTCTCTGTGTCTGTGTGTGCCATTATGTGTCTGTAGGTGTGTCTGTGTGTGTGGCTGCATGTGTATCTGTGTCTGTCTGTGGCTGTGCATGTCTGTGTGTGTGGCTTTGTGTGTGTCTCTATGTGTGTGTCTATTTTATAATGTCCGGCCGTGTCTGTGTGTGTGTGTGGCTTCGTGAGTATCTGTGTGTGTGTCTTTCTGAGAATGCGTGTGCGTCTGCACGTGTGTGTCTGTGTGAGTGTTTGTGCATCTGTGAGTGTATTTGTATGTATGAGTGTGTGTGCCATTATATGTCTGTGTGTGTTTTTGTGTCTGTGGCTGTGAGTGACTGTGTGTGTGGCTTTGTGTGTATCTGTGTGTGTCTCTATCAGTGTATCTATTATACGATGTCTACGTGTCTCTGTTTGTGTCGGTTTATGCGTCTGCCTGTATGTCTGTGTGAGTTTGTGTGTGTGTGTGTGACTGTATGCATACTTGTGTGTGTATCTGTGTGTTTCCCTGCCTGCGTGTGTGTATGTGTTTGTGTGCGTGACTGTGACTGCATGCGTGTGTCTGTGTGGGTTTATGTCTGTGTGCATTGGTGTGTGTGTATTTGTATGGGTCTTTTTGTGCGGCTATGTGTGTGTATGTATGTGTGTGTGTGTCTGTGTGGGTTTATGTCTGTGTGCGTCGGACGTGTGTGCTTGTATAGGTCTTTTTGTGCGGCTACATGTATGTATGTGTGTGTGTATAGCTGTGTGTGTCTATATGTGTCTGGGTTGTATGCATGTGTGTTTTAGAGCGCATGTCTGTGTGGGTGTCTGTGTGTATGTGTGTGTGTATGTGTGTGTATGTATGTATGTATGTATGTATGTATGTGTGTGTGCATGTTTGTATGTATGTGGATGTGTGTGTGTGTATTGGGTGCCTATGTGTGTGAGTGAATGGGTTTGCGTGTGTATGTGGGTGTGCGCGCACATATTTCACCACCCATGCTCTTGTTTTTGACTTGATATTCATAATATGCATATTATTACATGAACATAACATGCTTTATTGATGAAATACAACTGCTGTGTGAAAGATGGGAGTTTGGAAGGGCCGAATGTAAGACAGGCCTGCGTACCTAATTTGTAACCCTTTGAAAATAAAGTTAATTCGTTCGTTCGTTCTGTCTTTTCTAATATAAAATTATAATATGTCTCTCCAACCTGTTTCAGTAAATACTTATAATTTTTTCGTTAATTATTGTTAATAAATAATATTTTTTTATGAAAAGCTACATGCAAAAGAATGGAGTGGGTAAGAGTTTATGATGTTCACCTCTGGCTCATGCAGATCTGGTTTGTTTCACGATACAGAACTTGTGGATTGTCTGTGTACAGTAAGAAAGGTGCAGTATGCTCTCAACTGTGAACCCTTCCTTTTCTTAGATTAGGATGAGGAAGAAGATGAGTATTTCAAGGTTGTTATACTTCTAGGCTCAAAGACACCCCCACTCTGCCTGCACTGCAAAAGTGGTATAATAAAGCCAGTAATTAGTAGTTTTTTGGCATGGCAATACTGCCATTAGAATCGAATTGATGAAACTGTTGTCATGCACATTAAATGAAAATCACAACAAGGAATAAATCAACTGTTACCTTTGTTGCAAAATGGCAAATTTCTTCTCCCAGCTTTTGTGACATTTTTCCAGTTCCCCGTGCAGCCTTCATATCGTTTAAAAAAAAAAAAAAAGACATTCGGTTGTAAGTTGTGAGATGATAGAATAACAAGATATATATATTTATACTGACGCTTGAAAAAAAAAAGACATTAAAATAAATACGATAAAGAATATAGGGATAGAAAATATTGACTGTGTGTAGCAACCAAATAAAAATACTGTTGAAATCTGATAAAACATATCTGGAGAAAACAGAGTGCTCATCTAGTAAAGTATCTGCACAATGAGTCTGAACAAATGTGAGTAATCTATTGGCTCATACATCTTGAAAACAAAACAAATGATTCACCTTTGAGAACTAGGAATAGAATTAAATCTACATTAAATGTGTGTTGTATAAATGTTTCTCATGCTACCCAATGTGTCTCTACACAAAATCATTATCATATTGTACAAAGCATAAATGAGAACAATTTACTCACCCAGAGATAGGAAGTTTAAAATTGTGCACTATTAATAATCATCAACATTGGAATTGGAGTGCATCTGGCTGAGAGGCAAGGAACTAACAGTCTGCATATCAGTAAGCTAGATCTGTAAAACAGTTGTACATGCAAAACTCCAGTTGTGGAACAAGACTAAAGTCCAGAAGTGGACGGACAAACAAAACATTCTGCCATAGTTTACAACCGGTGAAAGCGAGGGAGGAAGGAAGGATACTTCTTTCACAGACTACAGCAAAGCATTTGTCAGTGTTATACCTTGTGAAAAATTATGAGAGATAATGAGTTTCCAGGATATTGATCCAGACAACTGAAAAATTGTATCACAAACAGCAGCATAGGTCTGAGTAGCTAGTGAAACCTCAAACTGTTTTATGGTGCAACAGTACATACAACATGTTTGCACTTTCCCCCCAATACCTGTTCATACAGAGAAAAGGTAATGAGAAACATAAAATGTGCTGAAACCTATGATATGGCTGTGGCTTTAAAGAATAAAAATGGAAGGCATGGTTGCAAAAGGGGAAGAGGGGAGGGTAGGCAAGATCAACCAATACAAAGGGTAACACTTGAAATTAAAGTAGGTACTTCAGTCAAATTTTTAAAATGCCCTCTACACCAATAAAACCAGCACAGTTAGATAGCTGTAAACAATCTCTTTCCAATGGTACCTCATTTAGGCTTGTATGTCATTTCTGAGCTGAGATATGTAGGTTTTTGTGGAGATGAGATGTAAGAAACAGCCGCTAAAACTTGTGACCCAGAAACAAGAAGTTTTTCACTGCGCAACCTACTGCGCAGTTCTGTATCGGCTTTGTTGACATTGGACTGTCATTGGACAAGATGGCAGGCAGTGAGACTCAGCCGCATGCGATTGCCTAAAAAATGTCACTGTAAATCTAAACAGCGAAAGTCGGGAAAGAAATTTATTTATGCAAATGTAAAATTGGACGGAGAATTCAACTGTAACTAGCATTACCACAACTGGTAATGTTTAAGGCCTAAAGCCAACCTCGAATTTACCGCTATTTTCAATCAAACTGATGACTAACAGAAAAACAGAGGAGTCCGGCTGTCGTAGACATGCGCTGTTAATCGGGTTCCCCCACGCTGTTTCCAGCTATTTATAGCTGGTCCAAATTCCCACCAATCACGAATTTTCATGAGATTTGGACCCATCCGGAAACCAGCCGAGATTTCCCGAACAAGTTCTGAACGGTTTCCAGGTAACGGAAATTGCCGAAAAGATCGCAAATTGTCGAAACTGTAGTCCCTAATTAAAGACACCTTGGGAGAGGGGAACAGGCAAAAGATTGAGAGTCTTTCAGGTGAGGGCCATTCTGCAGAGGACTTGCCTCAAGAATATTATCATTTTAAAACAGTCTGACTTTTATTACCTTTTAACTTCAGCTCTTAATTTCTCATCTGAACTTGTTAATGACCTTGAAGCCATTGAAACTTTGCTCAATGATTTGTATTTCTCCCTCTCCTGGAATAATAATTTTTCAGAAAACAAATATTTAAATATGCAAATGATAAATCAGGATTAACTGACATATTTTTTAAAGGAAATTAAAATCTATTTAAAATTTTTTTTTTAAAGTTCATTTTAGGAATTAAAAAAACCAAAGTTAAATATAATATAAACTTAATTCACTTTACATTTATGAATCATAGAAGAATAATTTACACAAATATTCATGTTTGAGGTTGCAGCAATGGATCAATATCATGGCACACGGGTAGTAAACAATAAGTACTCTGTTCTTCTTCTAACTCAAGTCTGAGTCCAAAGAAGCTCAGCACCGTGCACATGCTCTGTAGCACCGGCGAGGATCCTGAAATACTTTGGGTAGGCCCGGGCAGCGCCGATAGGCTACTCTTTTCAATTTCCAACTGCCAAGAATTTTTTTATGTGCTCAACAACACACATGGGCGTCTGATCTCACTACCCAGAGACTATGGGGAATTAATAGAAGTTCAAGTCCATGTGAAAAATTCCCAGCCCTTACCAGGGATTGAACTTGAAACCTCTAGCACTCAAGGCAGACACAATGCCTCGAGACCATGCAGCCCCTTAAATATTCATGTTTATATCTATGCAGTAATTTGAAAAAATAACATATACATACAGACTAAGGACAATACAAAAATAAATCAACTAACAGTAAGAACAGAACCTAGGATGTAGAAGACAGTCAAGAATCATTAACCATATACCTCAGCCAGCTGCTTCTCTAATTCAGCGATCTGACTTGTCATGATTCTTATCTTACTCTCATAGTCCCCTGCAGTCTTCTGAGCCTCTTGTTTCATCTTGACCACTACCTGACCCAAATGGAGATGATTTCACAAAATTACAGTCTGCTGTAGATTATAAAGCATTTTGCATGCACAGCTGTATACATTTTGTGTTGTGGTAGTAACCTAGTGTGAGGCTGTAGCGTTTTTTATAAAGGCCATATTGGAGAAACACTGAAGGTGACTTAGCATTAGGCAGACTGTGATTCAAGTAGAACAACATCAAGATATGGATGAACCTTAAGTGGGTACCAGATGTAGTCCTGGGAAGTAAAGGTGGCCGGCATGATGACCATATCATCCACTAAGTGCCGACTGGTCTATAAAACATAGGTCTAACCATGTCTACCCAGTACGTCTGAAGATGTGAAAAAGGGTTGTTTGCTTTTTTTTATTTTTATGGATAAACTATAAACTGTATGAGTGTACAACAAGGATGAGAGAGACAAGAGCCTGGAGGATATCCATTGTGTCCTTCCTCTACTGTGGAGACAGCACCTTGTTGATTAATGACAGTTGGTGAATAATTTTAAATGCTCCTATCTTTGGGTAAATAAATTGTTCTCACTTATGCCCTGGACAAAATGATGACGAATTTGTGCAAAGACACATCAGACAACTCAAGCAGCATCATTTATACAACACATATGTAATGTAGATAAAACTCCACACACATTTTCAAAAAGCTCTCTAATTTTTTTTTATTGGCCAGGGTGAGAAGATCAAATGTAATGTAGATATAACTCCATACATGTTTTTTAAAAAGCTCTTGGATGTTTTTAATTAGTCATGGTAAGAAAATCCAAAGTATTGTAGAATAAACTCCATACATGTTTTTTAAAATGCTCTCTGATGTTTTTAATTGGGCTTGGTGAGAAGATCGAATGTAATGTAGATATAACTCCATACATGTTTTTTAAAATGCTCTCTGATGTTTTTAATTGGGCATGGTGAGAAGATTTTGTTTCAAGAGGCTGACAAATCTTGCATCAAGAGGCCACTCAAAATAACTTAAATCAAAACTAAGAATGGGTTTCCATTCATTGAAACTAATACAGAAAGGATTACACTAAGCTCATTAAGCCCAGATTACCATAGAGGGAAATAACTACAAATATCTATGGGGAAAAAAATACTTGAACCCCTTGCCGAGTGGCTCAGTGGTCACAGGTTCGAATCCCCTATTTAGTCAGATATTTAAAACCTGAGAGCCAACTAGTCTACAAAAATGTAGAGCTTAAACCATATACAATGTTTGCCAAGGTGTGAAAAGAGGTCCTTTACTTATCACTTGAAAAGAAGTGGTCACTGGAGAAGTCACATTTCTCTAACATGCTCTGACCAAATGTAATAAGTAAGGGAACAAAACATGCATTGAATTGGTTGCAACAAAAGAAACCAGACACATATCACATCTGGTATGAAATGGAAAACAAATGTTAGAAGTATTTGAAAATAAATTGGAAAAGGAAAAACTAAAGTGACACTTACTTCCTCTCTGGCCATTTGGATCTGCTGATTCAATAAACGTTTCATTTCATCGGACTGATTTCCTAACTGAAAAATAAATGTCCTAGAAGTAGACAAACATCAGTAACCAAGCAGAATACAAATGTTACCTACAACCACAAATCAGCAAAGATCTAACGGATGCTATTAGTTAGCTTTCCATAATTTTTCACTTTCTATATTCTCCAAGGGAGTCGCCGTGGTGTAGCGGTTAGATGCTCGCCTGCGGATCAGGCTGTGGGTTCGGGTCCTCAAGTTTTTGAAGTTTGAACAACAGACCAAGATCACCGCACACGGTTATTTACCCATAAGTCCTCCATTTTCTTCTAACTCAAGTCAAAGTCTGAAGAAGCTCAGCATGGTGCACAGGCTCTGTAGCACCGGCAAGGATCCTGAAATACTTTGGGTAGATTTTTAACTCCAAATTAGGCCTGGGCAGCGCTCTTAGGCTACTCTTTTTGATGTCCAACTGCCAAGGGATGTTTTAGGTGTGCAACAATGCACACGTGCGTCCGATCTCACTATCCAGAGACCAGGGTAAATACTAGAAGTCCAAGTCCATATGAAAAAATTTCAGCCCTAACTGGGGATTGAACCTGGAACCTCTAGCACTCGAGGCAGACACCATGCCTCGAGACCACGCAGCCCCCCAGGTCCTGAAGGAACTGGGCTTTCTTCAAAAATGACCTTGGTTCCCAGGTCAACCCAGCCTTAAGTAGGTACCAGGTGTAGTCCTGGGAAGTAAAGGTGGCTGGCATAATGCACCACATCACCCATCGAGTGCTAATTGGTCTATAAAATAAGGGTTAGCCCTATATGCCTGAAGGTGTGGGAAAGGGTCCTTTACTTCGCTAAATTTTACAAGCAGGTAATGACTCAAGTCACCTAATGAAACTGTACCTCATAACAAAAGTACATTCAGTTTAAAATATAAAAAAAGAAATCAAATACAAAAATAATGACCCAAAAACTACACCTACTTATCACAATAATATATAAATTTAAAAAAAAGGAGGCTTAGAAAAGATCACAAGCCAGCAGAAGAAAGGGAACAGAGGGAATGCAGTGGCTGGTACACTTGCCTATGAATCCCTATCAGGCTGAATTCTTCAGTGAACCAGGACTAAAATGTGTGGAAATGAGACTGAATTATGTCTACAGCTGCAGCAAGCTGATATTTCCTAACACAACCCCATATAAAAAACGACAAACAATTTCTCCTAAGATATTTACCATTGTGTTTACTGCTTCATTTTCCTTTGAGGTGGTCTCAGCCATTTCAGTCTGTTCACTCTTCAGCTGTGATATCAGAGAAAATTATATACAAACTATTTCAATAATGTTAATGAATTTGATTGCAGAGAATGTTCTAATTTATTTTTTAAGATAGTTTGGACATCAGAAGCATTCAATAATAACACTTTCATGTAGAGATATACGGGTGGCATACTGGCTAGAAGCTCACCAGCAGGCACAAAGATTCTGAGTTCAAAATATGAGTCTACCTGATGTGTCATTGACGTGAATAGGTTCTTTCACTTTCTTACTTCTGTAGCAGAGTGTTTTCATTACAACCACTGGAAAGACAATCTTTCAGGAGTTTCCTTGAGCCATGTATTTCTATTCTAAGGGTGTTTATAATGTCCTGTGACATCCTTTGTACTGGATGACCCCTGTCCCTCCTTACTTTTTCTTCTGCTTCTTCTTCTGTATTCACCCTTACAGGGAAGCTGGTAAGTTGTGTTGTGTTTCACAGCTAAGCTAAATCGACATCTTTCGGCCCAGTAGATCAGATTTCAGAGCTGCTAATTAGTTGTCTTTTATGACATGCTTATTAAGGGTCAGTGAGTCTATTTCCCCTTCCTGCACCCCCACCCCACCCCACCCCCCCCCCCCTCCTAGTGGGGTTCTGGAACTCACAAAGGGGAGGGGGAGGAAAGGGGGAAGCTCTCCTTCTAGAAACTATGCCTACTATGAATATTATTTTTCCTAAGCCCCTATAATTTTCATACGGCCACATTTTCAAAGTCAAAAAACCATTTATTTATTTATTTACTGACATATTTAATAGGTGTCAGATTTTGTAGAATGTCAACATTTTAAATTCTTCTTTATCTGCTGTATTTTTCGTAATCTTGTGAAATTTTCAAACATATCATGTACACAGCCATCAGACTGCATCCGTCACTAAACCTCTGCCAATTGCAGAGTCAAATATTCACAGTATCAGTTACTGCCTTTGACCTGCTCCAGTGCCCATTCTCAGCTCACCAGTAGTCAAGGATATCCTGTGTGTGTCATGCTTCCCCATGAATTAGCTGCCCTTTGATCTTCTCCCAAGTCTGTGGATATCTTGTACATCATATTACCCCACAATTTAACTGCAATTTGACCTTGTCTGTGGACATGTTGTGTGTCATTTTGCTCCATAAATTAACTGTCATAATATCTTCTCACATATCATATGATAGTGACAGACTCAATGAGCACACTTAAGAAGATCCAAACTGGCAAACTCTGACCAGAATGGGTTGACAGCATCCAGAAGCAGCTCAAGAAACTATTTTGGCAGACACACCAGGAGACAATTTGGTTAAAGGAAATGAAAGAGCCAACAAAATGGCCACGTCTGGAGGATGGAGTATTGTTAGGGCAGAAATATCAAATGTGTTGTATTCCAGAGACACTGAGACAAGGGAGTCAGAGATATTGAGCTGCCTGTTGTAAAAAGTATTAAACAAGGACAGGCATGCAGAAACCGGCTGGGGGACAAAGAAACAAGATAAGCCAATCAACTTCTACTGGGTACGCTGAGCAGGGAGACACTGAGATGACTGCTGCATCAGAGGACTGGACAAAAGTGGGGCCCACTGATGTGCTAGAATGTCAATATAGACAAGTAATATGTCTGTGAATATCCTATGTCATGTCACCACATAAATTAACTGCAATTTGATCTTCTGACATGTTTTTGAATACCTTGTTGGTCATCTTAAAGTAAAGGTCCCTTTTCTACGCCTCTAGGCCCATAGGGCTAGATCAATATTTTTATAGACCAATCGGCACAAGATGGATGATGTGGTCATTATCACGCTGGCAGCATTTACTTTCCAGGACTGCACCTGGTACCCACTCAAGGCTGGGTCGACCTGGGAGTCAAGGTAATTTTTTTTAAAAGTCTTACTCCGCCAGGGAGGGAACCCACAACCTTCCGGTCTGCACACGAGTGTCTAGCCGCTACGCCACGGCAACTCCCTTGTGGGTCATGTTGCCTCATAAATTGACTGTGATCTTACCTTCTTGCATGTCTGTGGATACCTTGTTGGTCATGTTACCTCATAAATTAACTATGATTTGATATTCTTTCATGTAGTTGGTTATTTTAATTGGACTATAATTAATATTTGCTTCTGCCTTCTCTTATCCATTTCAAGCAGGTACCTGACTGACTGTTTTCCACTGTCACATATGATCAATGCATGCTTAAAAAAATATATGGGCTTCTTTTTTGTAAGTAACACACTTCTGATTTTCTTTTAATTATTGTTATTTTATAATAATCAATGGAATACCTTCTCCACAATTTGTTTACTTGACTGAAGCTGTTCTTTCAGAGAGTCCATTTCTTTGTCTGAAATAATAATCAAAGTCATATTTTGATCAAAAGCATAGGTTATCAATGTTATATAACTTCCTATACAAAGTTAACCCTGTCGTCTCGAGACAGCCAGTTTTCGTAATTTTACTGGTTTCTGATGACATGACCTTATTGGGCAGTGGCTAAGGCGCGCATATAGCAGCTGAGGTCCTGGTAGAAACTGCATAATGTGTGGACATGGTGGGTATATTAGGTTTACTAAAAATTGTTTTGGGAAATATTATTTGGTGTGAAAACAACAAATTGGTTGTGTGTGTGTGTGTATTTTGTTTTAACTGTGATGTCATAAAACACTTATGGTGATGTCACTTTGCTCTCTTGGCTGTGTCAATTAAACTCCTGTTATCTTGGACAAAGGGAAAGAAAGCAGTTATTTCTTTGCTCCGTTAAATATTTGGTACAAGATAATTACTTTAAATATGGAAAATCTATCTTTTAAGGGACTTGGAGGTTGAGATAATGCAACAGTTAGCAGGCTTGCCTGTCTACTCTGTGTTAATATGTTTAACATAACATAACATAACCCTTGACCCATAAGGGTCGTTCGTGGAGGTGTATTGACAGAAGCACTAGCACATAAAACCTGCCATCTTTCTCTGTCTTCCGCTTGATAAATAAGTGTATGATAACTTAGTCCTGTCCATTTCTTGATGTTGTCATTCCAGATTCTTCTTTGCCCTCCTCTGCTTCGACTACCCCCCAGTATTCCTTGAAGTACAGTCTTTGCAATCAAATCATGTCTCACCACGTGCCCAAATCAAGCTAGCTTGCAACGTTTCCCCACTGCCAAGAGAGGCTCCTGATGTCGCGCAAATTTGTATATTTTGTCTCTGACATGTTTATTAGTTTTGTGTTCTAAATAACTAATTTGTAAAATGCATTTGTAGCATTTAAATTTGTTTTTATGCCTTTTAGCCATGCACAATAAGTGAACAGCAATATGTTTACAACCCCCTGGATTTTTATAGAAACTTACCAAGACTCTTATCTGCTTCTTCTTCTTTACCTGTACTATTTTTAGGGCAGAGTTTCAGGGTTTATTTTTTTTTTTAAAGAGTTTTACAGGACAAAAAGGTTAAATGTTCCTCATCAACTCTGTATTAACTACAATTTTTTTTTTTTTTTTTTTACCAACATATAACATACTTTCCTTAAATATTTCAGTCCCAGGTTGTTTTTACTTTAAAAAAAATACATATGGGTTCAAGGCGTTTAACATAACAACTGCCTGGGATAGAAGTAGGTTTAGCAAAATGTTATTGTGGTGTGCTAATGCACCCGACTTCTGCAGGCATTTGTTGACCAAGTTAGTCTTCCCCTGTTAATATCAGCTGTATAGTTCTGATCTATATTTATATAAACCAAGGTAAAAAGTTAATCCAAATCAATAAATTCAAATATCTGGGTACAATCATAACATCCAATTGAAGATGTTTGACAGAAATTAAGAGCAGAAAAGGCCAGGCTAAGACTGCATTTCACAGAATGAAGAACATCTTGTGCAACAGGTCCTTCTTTTTGAATGTCATAGAGTACTTAATTGTTACGTGGAACCCATATTGCTCTATGGTAGCGAATCATGGAATGTGAATGCACAAATCAGATAAAAAACTTGGGAGGTGATGGAGATGTAGTTCTCAGACCAATGTAAGCCCGAGTAACTAACAAAGATTGCTTGTGGGAAACTAAAGAAAATAGATCAATATTTTTAGTTAAAAGGAAAAGACAAGCACTGTTCTCTGGTCATGTGATGAGGGAAAAGGCTTTGGAGAATACTGTAATGACTGGGAAGATCAACGGTAGAAGAGGGAGAGGCAGACTGAGAGAGATGATGACGGATGGACTGCGACCGTGGCATGGAGGGATATCAACGGTTGAACTGAGCCAGAGGACAAGGGACCAAGATTTCTGGAGATGCATGAGCGCCTATGCCAGTCAGCAGGGCATGTGATGATGATGACTGAAAAATGAAGATACTATGTTTTAGGTCTTACGCATAGATTGCATTTCCTCTTCTTTGTCACTGACAGTCTTTTCCAGTCGTACTATCTTTCTCTCATTTATTTCTAGCTTCTGGTTGACTTCCTCTAGCTCTTTCTGAACTGTTTGCAGCTCCTCTTGCAGAGCAGAGTCCACATGAGGCTGTGGAATTATGTTAAATATATCAGTATAATCCACGATGGCATCGAGGGGAGGATGATGTGAAAGTGTTCACTCCTCTTGTAGGTCCTAGGACCCCATCAAAGGGATGATGTGAAAGTGTTCACTCCTATTGTGGGTCCTAGGACTCCACCGAGGGGGAAAAAAGAAAGAATAGACCCACTGCCTTCCCAACAAGCAGGGCGTAGGAGTCAACAAATTGAGGGCATCCTTCAAAGTCAGAGTACATTAGTATGAGAGGCTAGGAACCAAGAGTCTGCATACAAATAAGAAATATATGTGAAACAAATGTGCACGCAACACTCAGATTCTGGAACTAGACTTAAGTCCGGAGGTGGACAAACACCCAAAACTTTCCATCGAAGCTTACAGTCAGTGAATGTGAAGGAGAAGAAGAAGAAAGTGTTTAAACACAGTCTTTTACTGAAATTATAATTTAAGAGGGCACCCTAGGAGAATATGGACTGATGACATTAAAGACAATCGACATCTACATGGAATGACAATAGCTAGTGCCCCACATCCAGCAAGGCATTACAAAGTGTTTCTCTTTTAAGGCTTCACTGAAAAAGTGGAAACTGATGATGATAAAGATTATTATCTTCGCCCTGTAATATTTGCTGAGGGAGAGAAGGTATCGGTCTGGATTATTATTGTGTCAACTAACTACAGTGTCATTTAACCATTATATCTATAGTCTCATCACACTGAGTGTCATTCCCATTCTGTCTGTACTGATTTAGTGTTGACTATTTGTTCAGGTCCTTCCCTTTCTGGTTATCATACGCAATTGACTTTATTAATTTTTTTTTTTTAAACTTATTTAGGACTTTCAATCCCAGTGTGTTATTGGCATTTATCTGTCTTTCTAGATGACAGTGTTACACTGTGCTATGGGGAGGCATAGGAATCACAGCCCATAGCAAGTATAACTAGCAAGACCCGCCTGAGTCAAGAGAAGTCTTTCACAATTAGAGCATGACATTTCTGGACCGTTGTTGCCATTACATGAATTTAGTGTGTTTTTCTCAGACGCTCAGCTCTTAACCTATCCACAATCAAGTTTTCCTTTATTTCAGTTCCCTCTCCATGCAACACAGTCTTTAGCATTCTGTTCCCTCAAAGCTACCTGAATACCTGCATCATTCAAGTCCCAACTGTACACACCTTTTTACTATAGTAAACGTCGACCTCCACATCTTCTACTCATCTGTAATTTACAATAGAAAAAAGCCCTTAGAGACTCTTTCCTCCTCCATTCTGCAAGTGTTACACAGCCACCTGATCCTTTGTAGACTGAGCATTGAGAAAACTTGTAGTACCTGCTCTTTCCAATATCTCTTTGTTTGTAATCTAGTCTTGCCACTGAATGCCAAACATTTTTTCTTAGGCTTCATATGTGAAAACTGTTTAGCCACTTATCCTGGTGTGAATATGTTGACAAAGTTTCACTGCTGTTTCAATCCCAGAAGATGCTGCTGCAACTCATTCTATTCTAAATTTTGTTTTTACTTTGTTTAATAATGAAAAAATCCAAATGAGGTCAAATAGTCCCACCAGATACTGCAGAAACTGAAGTAACAACAGATACAGAAGTGGTGAGTGAAGCAACTGGACAGGTCACAAAGATTTATGAACAATAAAGCTTGCTGGCAGAAATCAACACATGTTTGGTTAGTTATTCACTACAGAATGAGTTATAGCTTATCCAATCAGCGATTAAATCATCACCTGCGAGATGAGATGCCTGAGAAAAGCAGCCAACCTAACCCTCCGAGATCGAGTGAATAATTATACTATAAGACAAATTGTGGGAACGACACCTTGTACTAGATTCATCAAGAAACAGCAGATCAAGTGTTTTGGCCATCTCGTTAGAATGCAGCAAGATGAAATACCATCACAAGTACTACATCTCAGAAGATCAGCTACAAGAGCAAGAGGTCAGCCGCGGAAAATATGGATCGACAACATTAAATACACTCTACGCCTTCACTGCATGGCAATAGCTAGTGGCAGCCAGCGTGCACTGAATCGCAAATTATTCCTCCCTACAACTCCTAATGGCAGAAGTGGTTTATGATGATGATGATGATGAATCAGCCAAATATTGAATCCAAATCTGTCTAGGGCTTCATATTTTTTTATTTCTCATACAGAGCTGTGTAGAATGGTTTGATTGTCCCTACAAATCCTAATGGCAGAAGTGGTTTATGATGATGATGATGATGAATCAGCCAAATATTGAATCCAAATCTGTCTAGGGCTTCATATTTTTTTATTTCTCATACAGAGCTGTGTAGAATGGTTTGATTCAATTAACCATCATCTGAGAAAAATAATAAATAATCAGGCGTGTCAAGACATGAACATGCAGACAGAATGGCTGGCTCTGCACCTCTTGGTGTGAACTAATGCATGACAAGTTAGATGTTATCAAGGGTGTTTGAGAGTGAATGAACAGTGCTGAGTCCCAAATAGATCTTCATATCAAAGGTGTTTGAGAGTGAATGAACAGTGCTGAGTCCCAAATAGATCTTCATATCAAAGGTGTTTGAGAGTGAATGAACAGTGCTGAGTCCCAAATAGATCTTCATATTAAAGGTGTTTGAGAGAGAATGAACAGTGCTGAGTCACAAATAGGTAATAACATCGAGGGTGTTTGAGAGCGAATGAACAGTGCTGAGTCACAAATAGATCATAACATCGAGGGTGTTTGAGAGCGAATGAACAGTGCTGAGTCACAAATAGATGGTCTGAAGACAATTGTGCAGTAGTGAATGATCAGGGAATTTGGCCAAGACTAAACACTAAGGGGAGATCATGGAGGGACATTCAGTCAGAATGCTTATGGTACCGTTAGAACTAAAACTGTGCTGGCTGCTGAAGAGGAGAAATGAGCGTTTATGAGAATGTCCTGAGTGCTGTGAGGGTGGTACTCTCAACTTATCTTTAACTAAATCTATAATCAGCATCATGTAGCAGGTCCTTTGCAGAACGTGCCCTCATCACAGCCCACCAGGAAGAAACTTGGTGTCTTGCCACATCTCCCACCTCATGCACTTTCTTATCTCCTTCCTCATGCACTTTCCTATCTCCCGCTCCATGCACTTTCCTATCTCCCCTCTAATGCACTTTCCTATTTCCCACCTCATGCACATTCCTAATTCCTGCCTCATACACTTTCCTATCTCCGGCCTCATGCACTTTCCTATCTCCTGCCTCATGCACTTTCCTATCTCCTGCCTCATGCCCTTTCCTATCTCCTGGCTCATGCACTGTCCTATTTCACGCCTCATGCACTTTCCTCCAATAGGTGTCATTTATATCCTTGTTCATCTTTGTGCTGGTGGGCCCTGTCCCTCTTTCCTGGTACCATGCCTTCTGATATTATTCTTCCCAATTTGTCTGGGTGCTTATCCCTAAAATTTGTCAGTTTACAATGCAATAAATTCTAAAATATCTAATATAAACAGGTGGACAACAAACAAAATGGACTCATATTTGTCTTACCGAACTTTCATTTGTGCTAAGTCTCCTTCCATTTATAAATCTATCCATGTTATCATCATCATAACCATCAAGATAAAACCCTGCTTTGTTCCGCGTGTACTGCTGCAATTGGGCTTTTAGCATCTCAATGACCCCTTCGTTGCGAAGAATCGTCGCCTGCATTTCTCGGAACTTCCTCTCCTTGGTAATGAGGTCGCTCTTTTGTTTTGTCTGTTCCCGCATTATTTTGCTTTCTAAGTTTTTCTGTTTTTTTTTTATTGAAACAAACAAAAAGAAACAAATAAGTGAGCCAGATCAATATAATTTTTAAAAAAATAAAATATGCTGAAATATCAATTCTGTGTACTTATCATATTAAAGTACAGAATTAAAAAGCAAAAATGGTCTATTATTTAAAGAAATAATAAAAATGGCACATTACAAAATACTATTTTTAAACAAAGATAAAATAGTTCACATAATATATTTCTGATTTCAGCTTTACACCTTTAAGTAAAAATATTTTTTACTTTATTAATTTACATGCTTAATACATTTTTTAGATATTTAATTCCTTTGCAGTTAATGAAATCAATTAATCATTTTTAAATTCTTTCCCCAGAGAAGCTCAAAAACCAAAATGTCTGGCTGTGTCCAATTTCCTGTCAATGTCACTTTTCTGTCTTGCCTGTAGTGATCGGTTTATGAGATGCACAGTTAATACTACTGGCCAAGGTTTGCACCCCAAATAAACATTTAGGAAGTCAGGATATGAAAACATTAACTATCAACAACATTTGGAGGGTGGGGTGAGGGAAGGAGGGGGAGGGAAAAAAAAGGGGGGGGGGGGGAGGTTGGCTTTGAGGTAAATCGTTTTTTAAAGCCAAAATGACATCAGATTTTCTCAGAAACCTCAGTGATAGAGGTCATGGGGTCATGCCATGAGTCAATACATGTCAATTTTTTTTAAGTTCTCTGGGGAGGTATTACATTTAATGCTATATAAACAATTTACAAATGTAGGTAAACACATTTTTAACAAACTTGTTAGTGACCTGTATACAAATTGTTGTTGTCTTTAAGGATTTTTTTCTGGATTCTAATGGGGTCATTACCTATTTCTCATACTGTTTTTGAGGTGGAAGATTTTTAAAAAAATCCAATCTCCAATTATGATATGAAATCTGGTGCAATAAAATATGAAAAAATCTGCAGCTGCTATGAAATGTAAATGTGATCTTCTTCTTCTCCTTCTTTACTTCCACTTGTACCACTTTGGTTCTCGAGGGAGATATAAGGTTCTGGTGCTTGCCCGTATAAAATGATCAGCTTTGCCAAAATCACTCTGTCCCAGAAAAGTTTTTATTTTAGCCTCTGCACTAATTATGCACAGATTACAATTACAATTGAGGTAATTGTATTATTTGACAGACTGTTAAAAATGAGTTCAGGAAGATTTTCCAGGAATTAGAATGTAATTATATTTCTTACATCAAAATGCCCATAGAGTTTGGCCACAGCATCTGCCAACTGCTGGCGATAAGCCTTGCGAAGACAGTTTACTCTCTGAAAGTTTAAGAAAAAATACAAACACTGTTAAAACATTGCATTTATCTATGAAACAAAATTTCACACACATTTTTACAACTACAGTTGTTTCCACAAAAGTTCCAGCGACAGTTTTTGCCAAACTCAAAAATATAACTTATAATTACTTCGAGTTCAAGCCGTTATGTATGCCGATGATCTGGCGCTACTGAGTTCAGAGGAGGACACTGAAAAAGCACAGACAAGGCTTCAAGAATCCCTCGGAACTCTAGAGAGGTGGTCCAATAGCTGGTACATGCCTGTAAATGGGGCCAAAACCACACACACCATTTTCAGTCTCTCTACCAAACCCCAGAAAGTTTCACTTAGATATGGCAGCCAGGCACTGATACATGATGACTCACCGTCATATTTAGGAGTAACCTTTGACTCAAGACTCACATGGAGAAAACAGATAGAAAAGACACAGAGCAAGGGACTCAAGAGAACACAACTGATGAGAAAGTTAGCTGGAACAGACTGGGGGGCAAACCTCAATGTCCTTAAGAGGACCTATACAGGCTATGTGAGGCCAACACTAGAATATGGAATAGCTGCTTGGGGCACAGCAGTTAAATCAAATTTTCAGAAAGTCTCAAAGATCCAAAACCATGCTCTCCGTATTATGACAGGGGCAATGCGCTCCACGCCCAAATCAGATATGGAAACAATTACTGGTCTCCATAATCTGGAAGATAGGAGAGACACAAAGATCCTCACCCAGCTCTCCAAATACCACCACTTTCAAGAACAACCCATGTACAGCCGACTACAGAAACCCCAGAAGGCTAGACTAAAGAGAACTTGCTTTATTAAGAACGCAAATGCCAAGCTTGCTGTCCTTAAACTCCCTCCCATAATACCAAATGTTCCACTTAAACCTTACAACGACTGCCCCGCTTGGCTTAGGGATAGCCTACCAACAGTCAGAACCACTGTAACAGGGGTCTCCTCTAAATCATCAATGAGCAGCACTGATATGAAATCAACTACAGAAGGAGAGATCAATAGACTTTACCCACACCAGAGTTGGATTCGAGTGTATACAGATGGTTCAGCCAAGAGAGCAGTAAGAGACGGAGGAGGAGGAATATACATAGAATGCCCAAATGGTTTAAAAATCAACCAGGCTGTACCAACAGGTTTATATTCCTCCAATTACAAAGCAGAGGCAGAAGCACTTCTAGCGGCATGTTCTTTCCTGAATGGACAACAGCACAGCAAATATAGCAGAGTGGTCTTTCTGACTGATGCTATGTCAGTTCTACAAGCAATTGTTGACCCAAAAGACACTCAGTTTTGTAGACTTGACGCAACAGCTGATTTACTTAGGCTCTTCAGTAGAACAATCTGTACTGCAGTGGATTCCAGGTCACTGTGGCTTGGAAGGCAATGAAATAGCGGACAGATTGGCCAGAAGCGGCAGTGACATGGTACAACCAAATAGCGACTTAACCCACCAAGAGATGAAAACACTAATACAATCTAGTATCCAAGAAAGGTGGCTGGATACCCACACCAGATTTTCTCCCCAAGACTCACTTCATCGCCTCTCTAGAGAGGGACAGTCTATTATATTCAGACTAAGGACAGGACACAACAGATTTCGTCAACATATGTTCAAATTTTTCGGTGTAGGAAATACGGAGACGTGTCCCTGCAGCGTGGCACCCGAAAATGCTGAGCATGTGCTCCAACACTGTCAACTGTATGCTGACAACAGAGACGCAATCTGGCCTGTTCCAACCACAATGAAGACAAAACTGTATGGTACACAAGAGGATATGGATTGCACGATAGCTTTCATAAAGGCTACCGGTCTCCTGATATAAGTTTTCTGACCGAAGGATCGAAGAAGAAGAAGAAGAAGATTACTTCTCACAAGAAAAAACCCAAAAGAATCAAGGGATGTATCTTTTACTCTAATTTTGTCATCAAAAGGGCTGCTAGTACGCTGTATTGTGGTTTACGGCTAGCTTGCGATATCTGCCCCTTTTTGCCCATAACATCTGATTTCAGCATGACATTAATGGGCCCCGATTCCTTTATCGAGCTTCCGTGTCACAGGTTGCGTTCAGTGAATTCATTTCTTTATGCAGCTTGACTGCAGTCACCCCAATGTTCGTCACAATGAAATTAACTAAAGTGTTACCACGGTCCCTTCGGTGTATATAAAAGTTTTTTCTTAGCTTCTGTAGCATGAGAAAAACTTAAAAGTTAACTAAAAGATACTGACTCGCACTAAGAGAAGTAGAGGAAGGAAATCGATATTGACAATTTGCTTTAAATAATACAGGATATTTTATTGCGATAAGTGACAAGTTTGGACAGCTGCAGAAATGTAGTAGACAGATATTCGCAAGGTCTTGGGTTTAAATCCACATTGAGGGGAATTTTATAATTGACCTGGACATGCAAAAACCAGAATATTACCTTGCATTTAAAAGTGGTCAACATGATTTTGGTCACAAACCTAATGAGTGCCTTTTGGTCTATAAAAATATAGGACCAGAACAGTATAGCCAATGCACATATGATATGATAAGGGTCTTCCTACTTTACCTTTCTTTAAGTCCCAAATGTGATGCCTTCTTTGATTTTGTAAATACCAGATTAATTTGACATGAAGCTTTTTGAAACCTTGTACATATGTGGTAACTTTGTTTCAATACACTGTGACTGAACAGGTGAGATCTTCAGAAATAAAATATTCTTACTACATCATTATAATTTAATATTACAAAGTTGAAGGAAACAGCAGTGAAGGAGAAAAAGCAATAGAGGAGAAGAAATGTAGATACCAGACATGGGTGAAAAGTGCAAATAATGATGATCTTGAAAAGTTCACTGCGGCAAGAACGATAGCCAGAGATGTTTTCAGAAACACCAAAGAATCATCAAGGCAGAAATCTGCTGACCAAAAAAAAAAGTGCTACAAAAAAAACTATTATAAGCAAATTAAAGTTATGAGAGGTAGGAATGAACAATATGACCGAACAGAAATCAGAAATGACAAAACTCGATACTCCTTAAATGAACCACAAAAGGTCCTAGACAGATGGCGTCAACATTTCAACAATCTACTTAACTTACAATCAGAGCAACAATCCATAACACAAGAAAACAACAGCTACATAAATGAAAATTTAGAACCAAGCATAACACTCACAGAAAATTCCTTCGAAGTCGGAGTGCATCTGCCTGAGAGGCAAGGAATCAACAGTCTGCACACAAATTAGTCAAATCTGTCAAACAGAAGCACACATAACACTCAGGTTCTGGAACAGAACTTTCCACCAGAGTTAACAGCTGGTGAACGCAAAGAAGAAGAAGACTCACAGAGATAAAAAAAGCTGTAAAAGAAGCATCTTCCAACAAAGCACCAGGCCCTGACGATATACCTGCTGAATTACTCAAAACAACAGAAGAAATAGGGGTACAATCGATTCACCAACTGTTCAGCCTAGTTTGGACAACACAAAGACACCGGAGGACAAGAGAAACGCAATAACAGTACCCCATCTAGAAGAAGAAAGGCAACCAAGATAGACTGAGAAATATAGGGAAGTTTTGTTACTGAGCCACACTGGGAAAATACTATGTAAGAACTATGAAAAAAGACGATGCCCTATCATCGAACCACAACTTAGTGAAGGACAAATGGGATTTCAGAAGAACAGGAGTTGTAATGATGCAATATTCACATAGACAATTAGTGGAAAGGACATTTGTAGACCAAGAGAAAGCTTTTGATCGAATTATTCTAAATAAATTATAGAAGGTACCACAGGATTATGGCGTAAACAAACACATGATTAAATTGTGCAAGTGTTTACAAGTGAACAGTCACTGCGCAGTTATAAAAAATAAAGGAATGTCAGAAAAGTTATACATTAGATCTGCGTTCTATCACTACTACTGTTCATTACTTACAGGGATCAAATTTGCAAATCAGCAAATACCAGTGAAGGGGACAACATCGGAGAATTAATAAATGCATTTCTTTCGCTGATGACAAGCATTCGTAGTGCCAACAGCAGTACAGCTACAAAAATATATTAACAGATTTCACTCAGAATGCGACAACTATGTTTGATATGAAGATCAATGTAGACAAAACAGAAGTGATGACATTCTCCAGAAAAGGAAGAACCATTGATAAAAATTGATGAACACCAGTTAAAGCAGGCGAAAAATTTTTACCAGTTTGGGGAACATTTTTTCTCAAGAAAGAAGAATAAATAATTCCATCAAAGCAACAATAAAGCCAATCAAGTTTTACGCCAAATTGCACCAATTTTTTAATGCAAGCATGAGAACAGGAACACTAAAAGAACATTATTCAACACAATATTCTTACCAACACTAAGCTTTCAAGGTCAAACATGGACACTTTAGAAGACAGAAGGAAAATAGTCATGATAGAAATGATATGCTAGGTGTAACAAGCAAAGATCGACTCAGGAATGTTGATACCAGGAGAGATACAGAACCAATAATGAACTTTATAGGTTGAGAACAAACCAAATGGTTTGGCCACGTAACAAGATTGGAGTCAGACAGAGCACCACAGAAATATCATAGACACTGAAATGTTCTTTATATGAAGCAAACATTAGGGCCCATTCCAGAGATCTCTTCCTGTCCTGACGCTGCGAGGCATTCCAGAGTTGAGAAAAGAAGAAGCAAGAAACATTACATACTCAGAAATGAAACAACAAAAAATTATAATACTTGTTTAAGAAAACATATTAATAGTACACACAGAAGAAACATAAAGACAAATAAATGTATACTCAAGACAAGTGCTGAGAACAAGGACAATGCAGTCTCAGATATAGCAATATAAACACAAGTTACTAACAACTAATTAATCTCATGCCCAAGTTTAAGTGATTGCTATAAAATTATAGTACTTACATCTTGATGTGTTTTCTCCAAATCCACGACTTTCTCATTTATTCTACAGTACCTATTTAAATTGAAACATATTCATTATTGCAGCCCCACAATTTTATCATGATCTTTTTACAGATAAAAGTAATACCACAACAGATATTCATGTACAATATATAGTCGTCTCCATGTGGGATGCAATTTTTTTGTTATTTGAAGCCCCACTCTGGCTTTTGCCGGGGGCCCTGAATATAGCCGGGCTATAAACACGGCTTAATGGCTGAAAGGGGTTTCTGGGACCTCTCTATGGGTGATCCTCATCCGCATTGTAGTACTTTGTGTCACTGGGTGTTTATCGCTTGTGTGATGTCCTGGTGGGATACAACGAGAGAGAGAGAGAGAGAGAGAGAGAGAGAGAGAGAGAGAGAGAGAGAGAGAGAGAGAGAGAGAGAGAGAGAGAATGAGAGAGATATTCCTGTAGTAGTTTGAAGAGGTAACATTAGGTTACATCATTATGACATTGACTGGCTTCACTTCAATGCCCCACCTTTTCTTCCTAGAAAAATCTCTACTTTAAAATGAACAAGATGGAGTTGAATATTCAGTAATAGTGTAAAGGACTCTTTTATAAAAATATATAAAAACATAATGAGCAAATGTTGCTAGCCTGATAATATTAACTCTTTAGTCAAACAATACATGATGTACAACAGGTTCACCCCCTGAATTTCTTCCAATAAATCAATTGTTTTCAAAATTTTCTTCCATTTGGTCATAGCACACTAAAGAAATCTGGTTTTCCCAGTGGTCACTTTCACTCTGTGTTTAACCGCTTTAAAAGTAAGAGAACATGATTTTTCATAGTGGTTGTATGTACTGCAGGACAGCCCTAACTACTCCAGACATAGGTTGGGAAACTGGCCCAATGGAGCTACACAAGACGAACTGTGAGGAAATGGCAGCGAACTTAGACACACTGTCCTGCTGTGACCCAAATGGGACTGAATATTTAGCATGGCTGACATCAAATTCAGAAGAAAAAATAGTGGCTGTCTCTTTGTATAAGCCTAACGTTCCATGGCCATAGTATTACATTAACAATACAAACTTGTAGAGAAAGATGATCACCTATGCCAGTCATCAAAGACACTTGATGATGATAAATGTTAGGCACATATTGTGTGGTTAAAATTTACGTACAAATGGACACTTGTGTGCATCCTATTTGGTCTTTCTCCACATTAAAGAGAAATTTTCTTACTTCAAAAGCAGCTGGCTGAGTCAAATCACACTGTCTCTTTGTATAAGCCTAACCTACTACAAACTTTTGCCAAGAGATGATAAATGTTTGCACATATTGTGGTGACAAGTCAGCATCACACTTGTTCCTACTACACTTTTAAGAGAAATCTCTAATGCTCAAATTATTAGGCTGAGTCAACTCTCACATCTTCAACTGATCTAATAATCAATTAAAGGTTGTTGCGTATCCTCTAGAGGACGTTGCAGAACCAACCCTAACAGCCCCTGGCTGTTTTGTGGTTTCTCTAGGCAAATTTACGTCCAGTAGTTTGCCATTGCTTTCTGGACGGTCGGCTTTCTTGATACCACTGTCGAAACCAACGCAAGGCGCATTGCCCGCAGCTGGGATCGAACCTGGCATCCCGGCATTACGAAGCGAAGTGTTCGCATCGACTTAGCCACAGAGCCGACAATAATCAATTATACATTCTAATTCTCATTCACAGCTGTGTTTTTTGACATGCAATCACAGCCATTAAGTTTAGCCAAAAGAATCTGAAAATCTCTGGAGAAACAACTTATTTATCTACTGGTTCCTTTCTCTTCCCGAAAAAGACCTTAATCTCCAACTGTTTAACCTAAAAAACATCCCCTTACATTTCCCATAAAATCTCACCACATCTAACTAGCCCTCCTCTCTAGGTCACTTCCTGTCCATTATCTTACTCCTGCAACATAGCCTCTGCAGTTTAAGTGTGAATCAAGATTTTGTGACAGGCCGCATAGTAAAGCTTAGTGATTGTACACATTCTTGTTCCGCACAGTAAAGCTTAATGATTGTATATATTCTTGTTCCGCACAGTAAAGATAAGTAATTGTACATTTTCTTGTTCTGCACAGTAATGCTCAGTGATTGTATATATTCTTTTTCCACACAGAAAAGCTCAGTGATTGTGCATATTCTTGTTCCGCACAGTAAAGATCAGTGATTGTATATACTCTTGTTCCGTACAGTAAAGCTTAGTGATTGTACATATTCTTGTTCCGCACAGTCAAGCTTAGTGATTGTACATATTCTTGTTCCGCACAGTCAAGCTCAGTAGTACATTGTACATAGTATTCTGATTGTACACATTCTTGTTCTGCACAGTAAAGCTTAGTGATTGTATATATTCTTGTTCCGCACAGTTAGCTTAGTGATTGTACACATTCTTGTTCCGCACAGTTAGCTTAGTGATTGTACATATTCTTGTTCCGCACAGTAAAGCTCAGTGATTGTACATATTCTTGTTCCGCACAGTAAAGCTTAGTGATTGTACATATTCTTGTTCCGCACAGTAAAGCTCAGTGATTGTACATATTCTTGTTCCGCACAGTAATGCTCAGTGATTATTCTACACAGGAAAGCTATTCTATTCTTGTTCCGCACAGTCAAGCTCAGTGATGTACATATTCTTGTTCCGCACAGTAAAGCTCAGTGATTGTACACATTCTTGTTCCGTACAGTAAAGCTCAGTGATTGTACACATTCTTGTTCCGCACAGTAAAGCTCAGTGATTGTATATATTCTTGTTGTAAATGTATTACTATCCATTTGTGTTGTATACTGATGAAGGTTTTCTAGCCACAACGCTCATTTTATAATTTATGATATACAGGGAAGGATTAAACAGTACATACATAAGAAGTGTTAATATATAGTAGCACAGAATAATGTTGTCCTAGATCAATTTAAATATTTCCAAAGATAAATTACACAAAATGATTTTAACAGTTATTTAAAAAGCACCATAAAAATATACTAAACTTAACAATCTATACTTTGTTTCAATTACTAGAGAACCTATGCAATACTGTTCAGGTCCTGATGGAGCAGCACTGAAAAAAAAAGACCTTGGCTTCCAGGATGACCCAGCCTTAAATACATACTAGGTAAAGTCTTAGGAAATAAAGGCGGCTGACATGATAACATCACCCATTGAGTACCAACTGATCAATAAAATAAAGGTCTAGCCCTATATGCCCAATTTGCCTTAAAGCGTGGAAAAGGGTCTTTTACTTTTCTTTACTATGTACCACTAAATAACCAGAATTAATTGGCAAACATAAACATCCAATAGCAAAATTGAAAAGAAACACTATGTATCCCAATTATAACCCAGCTGGACTGAATATGCTATCTTTAAAGTTACAACCACAACTAATCATTATATCACCATATATGTACATCTGATGTACAAATAAATCAGAGAAAACCCGCAAAACTTACAGCTCTAAAGATATTGCCTGTAATTTTGAATCAAGTTCTGCTTGCATTATTTTCTGTGTGGAATGAATGTTTTTCCTCAAATTTGCAACATCCTGTGACAAGAAAACAAAATGTTAATTAAACAGAGCTGATGGAAAAAACTTGTTGCACACAGACAGCCTCAGAGACCTGTGGATCAAGGTCAAGAAATGTATTTCTAGAACTAAAATCTGTACGTAGAAAGGTAAGGCGTGCGCATGCTGACTTTGAAGAAATGTCCAATAAAGATGTCTACAAAGATGATCAATTATTACAATAATGGCATAATGAATCCACTATTTTAACGACACAATGTTATTATGATTTTGCAAATATTCATAGTACAACTTCTTTCTGAACCACAACCTAATAAGGTGTAAACAAAGCAATATTTGAGCAATAATACAAATGACACAATGTCATGAATAAATAATTACATCATATATAATGTAATGGCATCTGCCAGTCCTAGGGGACTATGGAGATGTGCCGCTGGCTTTGGCAACAGCATCTGTCAGTCCTGGGGGACAATAGAGATGTGCCGCTGGCTTTGGGAATTGCATCTGTTGTGACTGTAAAGTCCAATGCGGGAGTGGCAGTCTCTGCCAGACAGGATATACACAAAAAAGTAAATACTCCCTCTTCATGAGGCTGATTTTCGATCTGGTGTCTCCTCTCTATAGCACTCTGCATTTAGTTTCTTTCCAAATGCTAACAATCCCTCTTCCACTTTCTGTCGCCACAGTACAGATCTGCAGCAGATTTATCCCAAGTCTCTGTTTATGTCTATACTGCATAGCTTTGGCCCTCTTGTAGGTTTATTTTCTGTTTCCAGTTCACCATACAGGAGATCCTTTGAAATACAACCATCCTTCATGCTGGAGACATGTCCAAACCAGCACAGATGTCTTTGCTTTGGTAGACAGTACTTTTGCCCTTGTGAGTACAGATTCATTGGAGACAAGTTCTTGCAATGATATATCGGGGATGTGCCTCATACAGCACAAATGGAAAGTATTCAGTCTTCTTTCTTGAGGAGCATGTAGAGTCCAGGATTTGCTACTGTACTGTAGCGTGCTTAAGACACAAGACTCATAAACTTTCAATTTTGGTATTATCAGTCAGCTTTTCATTTGACCAGACTCTCGTAGTGAGATTTGAAAACATTGTACAGGCCTTTCTTATACCTCTACTTATCACTGCATCTAGGGAATGATGGCCTAAGATTTGTGAGCTTAGGTACTCAAACTCATGTAAAGCCAACAGCTGATGGTCATAAACACTAATTATTGGTGGGATTTCAAGATTCATTCCCATCACTTGCGTTTTGTTGAGACTGATTCTTCCTCTTCTTCAGCATTCAGAGCCATTGAGGTTCACTGCTGCAAATATCACCCACGTATCGTATCGTATAAAACCAAACAAAAATTCCAAGCTTAGTCCTTTTTTAGCCGCCTGATGGCCTGCTTTTTCAAGGACGGTTCCTTTGCTATCTTATTTTATTTATCTTCCTTTGTGGTGAGCAATTACACCTGAGTTTGTTCATTTGTTGCCTAAGTTCTGGTTTTGATGGGTCCTGATTCCTGTTTTAGTTGGCCATCCGCTAGCTGTTGCACTGTTCATCTGTGTTAGTACCAAGTCAGTCCTCAGCCAGACCACCGCGAAACAAGCTCAAACATACAGATACTAATTACATTACAATTTATAATGACTAGGTTTTTTTTTCAGGCAGTATGCAAAAGTATCTTTTATTTGAAGGCATTACATTATGTGGTTCATTGCTACTGTGAGATACTTTGAAGCTGAGTACCAGCATCTTTTTAAAATTCATTTTGTGCTGAGTACCGGCACCTTCTTTTCTCAGTTAGTAGTGCATTCTCTCACTATATCTATTCATGTGAGTCATGGACTATCTCCCAGTCCTTTAGAATAGAAATAGGGGCTTTCAAGCTGAAATGCTATAGAAAGATTCTCAGTATACCATGGACAAAGAAAAGAAGAAATACTGACATTTTAAAAGATCTGAACATCAAGGAAGACTGGCTAATTAACAGCATCTTGTCTCGGAAGCTGAAATATTTTGGTCATATCAAGCTCCAAGGCGGACTGGAAAAAACAGTAGCAGAAGGCATGGTACCAGGAAGGAGGGGCATGGGCCGACCAACTGAAGATGGACACAGGCTACGACTCCTTGAATATGAAAGTCCATGAGGCGGGAGAGCTGGCGAAAGACCGAGTTTCTTTCAGGCAGACAGTGATGAGAGGACCTGTTAAAAGATGATGATTCAAACATTCATCTCTATGCCTTTCCCTTGCTCTTTTTTCCATCAGTCTTGCCAGTTATCACCAAATTTTCAAATTCCTTCCTTCTCATAACAATAAACATTATACCATAATAAATAATAATAATACAATCAACAATAATAAATATCTTGCCATGTTTAGTAATTCAGTTCAGGCAAAAGTTGCAGCATTCTAACAAATATCCTAACATACCGTTAGCAATGCTTGTATGACATCTTTAACTTCTTTCAGGTCCATTATTTCTGTTATTTCAGTCTGTGATGCACGGTCAAGGCCGAAGTATCCAATTTTACCTTTGTCCGCCATAAGTGATCTGTTGAGAAATATGAAATAAGACAGAAATATAACATTAGACAGAAATTTGAAATTAGGCAGAATATTGACATTAGACAGAAATATAATTTATGACATAAATCTGACATTAGATAGAAATATGACATAAGACAGAAATATGACATCAGACAGATATGTGATATTAGACCGAAATAGGTCGATTCTCTCGACTCAATATATATAATAAATTACAATATTAGTCAGCATACAACATTAGTTTTAGGCTATCTTCCGAATAACGGTCCCAAATTATCGAGACAGAAAATATATCCTAACAGGGCCTGAGATACGTGTCAATTGCGCACTTCCGGGGACTATACCGCCACTGCCGAATTGCGAACTTCTGGGGACTATACCGCGACCACCGAGAGTATCCCCCACGCCGCTCATGCAGCGTGGATTGAGAATAAACTAGATGGTTGGGACTCACCAGCAAATAAAATCAAGGCAGCTGCAGGAGATGCGGTAGCTGCTGCTTGTGAGTCCCAGTTTAGCCTCAATCCACGCCGCGTGAGCGGCGTGAGGGATACTCTCGACGGTGGCGGAAGTGCGAAATTTAAGTGCCAGAAGTGCGCAATTGACACATGACTGAGGCCCTGTTAGGGTATATTTTCTGCCTCGATAATTTGGGACAGTTATTCTAAAGATAGCAGAGTTTTATTTTCATAATAATATTGTAAAAGATACCTAGGCGCTCCTTTGAATCATTCCCCAAAATGGCGGCATGCCACATTCTGGCCATAAAATATCCAAAAATATCTGAACGACGGTGTTCGCGTATATCTAAAATACAGACTTTCTGCCAAGGAACAAATCACTGCAAAACTAGGATTACTTGACAATCAATATCAACATTTGAACACGGTGCTAGTAGCAGACGATAAATACCGACCGTTGACAACAATTTCGAGCGTTTCTGCAGACGATACTAGCAGACGATATTAACGACCGTTGACCAATTTCGAGACATTACAGACAATGAAAGCCGATTAGCAAAACTGTGTTCTTCCGATTGGAGGATTTAGCAGCGGTAGATGTCAGACTTGTCGGCATGCGCCAAACGCGATTAAACTCATCGCCGAGCGTATCCCCCACGCCGCTACGGGCGGCGCAGATGGGAGCTAAACTAGGTGCCTGGAACTCATGAGTACAGTAATTGGAGGAAGTTGCAGGAGATGCGGTAGCCTCTCGATCGTGAGTCCCAGCCATTTAGTTTAGCCCCCATCCGCGGTGCGCATAGCGGCACGGGGGATACGCTCGGCAGTGAGGCACACTCGCAGAAGCAGGTCGGCAAGTAACGTATTGCCGAGACCCTGTCAGAGCATTTGTTTCGTTATCCGGAGCCGGCACATATATTTTTAATAGAACTGACCCGCTTTTGGATATTTTTGGATATTTTATGGCCAGAAATTGGCCAATTTAGCCCTCTTTCGATCGCCATCATATTAAAGCCGCCATTTTGGGGAATGATTCAAAGGAGACCCGATACCTACTAATAAATATATTTGTAAACAAAAATCAATATTTTCTGTGTCCTATTGGGGGGGGGGGGTGAGAGAGTGACCTAAGGTGGTAAAAGGCAGCGGACGGAGTAAGATTTCAATTTCAGAGATCGTGAAAACACACTCGATTCACTATACTATACAAGAAAACAATGTACACCCCACCGAAATATGTCAATGCCGCTTCCATTTTCGTATAGTGTAAAATGACCATCATGGCTCTCATTCAACTCCGGGTTACAAACTATTTCCAGGCAGTCAAAAGTTGTGTTATTAGTATTACTACTACTGTGACCAGAAGTGGTGGTGTCCGCCATGATTGTTGTGTATAGCAACAGACCGGAAGTTCGCTATGTTTTTATCTTGAGGTTGCATGGAAGGCTTCAAAGTTTGGAAGACATCGAGACTTAGGTTTAAACTTTAAACAACGGATCATCATCGTGGCACAAGGGTAGTGACACATACGTGCTCCATTCTACTTCTAACTCAATTCTGAGCCCGAAGAAAGTCAGCGCAGTGCACGAACTCCGAGTACCGGCGAGGATCCTTAAATACTTTGGGTAGATTTGTAACTTCAAATTTTGCCCGGGCAGCGCCGTTAGGTTACTCTTTTCGATTTATAACGGCAAGGGCACTTTTTTAATGTACGCAACTATACACACGGGCATCCGATCTTACTACCCAGAGACCAAGAAAAATTACTAAGTCCACGTGAAAAAATCCCAGCCTTCACCGGGACCCAAACCCAGGACTTCCATCACTCGAGGTGGACACCATGAATCGAGACCACACAACTCCCATAGATGTCGCCATGATGAAGATGTCAAGGTTTGGGAATCATCAAGGTTTGGAAGTCATCAAGGTTTGAAACTCATCAAGCTTTGGAACTCATCAAGTTTTGGAAGTCATCAGGGTTTAGAAGTCATCAAGGTTTGGAAGTCATCAAGGTTTGGAACTCATCAAGCTTAGGAAGTCATCAAGTTTTGGAAGTCATCAAGCTTTGAAAGTAATCAAGCTGTTTATGTCATCATGGTTTGGGAGTCATCAGTAATAATGGTACTGGAAAAGAGGGACAGGGGCCGACCAGAACGAACATGGACACATAATGTGGTGGACACTTTGGGTAGCTAGTAAAGTGTACGAGGCGCGTTGAGCTGGCGAAGGGTCGAGTTTATTTTAGATGGGGTGGGGGCCAGTGATAGGAGCGACGTTCTGTAAAGTATCTGCTGCATGATGATAACGATGTAAAGTCAGCTCAAATCCGACTGATTACGACAACCTGTCGTTACTGCCTGCATGTACCGCTATAGCCTTTGTAGGTATGACGAGAAAAAAAGTGGGGGGGGGGGGGGGCGGGGAGTCCTAAAGCTTGAGAATTTAGGGCTGCTGGGCTAGTGCACTCACCAAGGGTTCTGATACGGGGGAAAACGTCACCTTACCGAAGATCGATAGCTTGCATAAGACTCTAGGCCTGTTGCAACATCACCAAAGTCTCGTTGATCAGGATGTTTCGGGGTGATACTGGACGTGTCTATGGTCGAGGCGGTAAAAAGCGCAAAAACCAGAACCTTATATCTCCCAAAGCGGTAATAGAGGAAGTGAAGAAGAAGAAGAAGAAGAAGAAGAAGAAGAAGAAGAAGAAGAAGAAGAAGAAGAAGAAGAAGAAGAAAAAGAAGAAGAAGAAAAAGAAGAAGAAGAAGAAGAAGAAGAAGAAGAAGAAGAAGAAGAAGAAGAAGAAGAAGAAGAAGAAGAAGAAAAGGAAGAAGAAGAAAAATAAAAATAATAATAATAATAAGAAGAAGAAGAATAAGAAGAAGAAGAAAAGGAAGAAGAAGAAAAATAAGAAGAAGGAGAAGAAGAAGCGACTTCGGCAGCGGCAGCAGCAAAAGGATAATCACAAGAATATCCCGGCTCATCAAATCATTGATGTTATTCCAGGATTCTCTTTTCTTCTTTAAAGTTAAAGACTGTTTTCTTCCTGGCGGGGTGTATGCTTATCAGCCCAGAGACTCAGACACATCCTTGATATCAATTCCCAGACTCCTTGTTAAATCTTTTATCAACTATCTACAGGGCATCTATAACGGTTACATAAAGGTACAACCTTGTTGTAACCGTTACGGGGTCTCACTTATTTTACCTTGCTTTAAGACATGCTTTTCACTTTTCGGTTACCCTGGTGAAGCAGACAGTTTGGAAATGTAGTCAATTTAGTGTTTCAGTTTGAATGATTCATTTACTTGCTTCATGTTAATCAATTGTTACAGTACATTTTGTGCTGAGTACCGGCACCTTCTTTTCTAAGTTAGTAGTGCATTCTCTCACTATATCTATTCATGTGAATCGTGGACTATCTAACAGTTCTTTAGAATAAAAATAGGGGCTTTCAAGATGAAATGCTATAGAAAGATTCTCAGTATACCATGGACAAAGAAAAGAAGAAATACTGACATTTTAAAAGATCTGAACATCAAGGAAGACTGGCTAATTAACAGCATCTTGTCTCGGAAGCTGAAATATGACGAGATACAGCGAAATATGCCTGTGACTTCGTTGTTCAAATTCACAACGGGGAACCACTGCTTTACTTATTTGACCGACCGCCTCGCATCTTTGAGATACTCTGCGGTATATCAACACACTGAGAAAATATACTGTCAGGCTGACACCAGACGATGTGAATGAATGAATCAAGAATTGACATCAGTGCACAAAGAACATCCCCATTCGTGCTCCGTCTCCTTCTTCAGCAGCGAACAAACAGTCGACATGCTAATACGTAGTCTGATTAAAAGTTCGCCTATGTTTACCCCTCAGTGTTGAATATCTTCCATAACCTCTACTTACCACCCGTTGAAATGAGTCTTTCAATGTCTGCATTCTCTGTCTTTTCTTTTACACTCTCCACTGGACCCCAGAGAGCCTCCACCACGCTCGCTTTATCATAAAGTAGCTCACCGCCCAGAGGTGTGCGTTCAAGAATAATAGTTCATGAATTATTGTGAAATTAGTAAAGGGTTTCTCCTTTTTCTTCTGCGTTTGGCATCAGCAATGCTCAAAACTTTTTTTTCCAGGTCGTACGGTACGCACTGCCGTTAGCTTTAAAACAAAAGGCGGGCTTTTTATCATCGCTAATAAGCAGTCTTTCAAGCGGGAGTGGAGAAGGCAGAATGGATATTACAAACCAGAGAGTGACAGCATAAACAAACTCATCAGGAAAGAATAAACATCAATTTTTAGACTTCGGACTGGACACTGTGGACTTCGAGCACACCTGTACAGGATACGCGTAAAAGAATCTGCTGCCTGTGATTGTGGAGCAGAAAGATAGACCCCTGAGCTCATACTGCAGTACTGCCCTAACCTCTCCCAGCAAAGACTGTGGATCTGGCCCAGGGGATC